TTTTTTTTTGACAGAGAGAGACACAGTGAGAGAGGGAACACAAGCAGGGGGCGTGGGAGAGGGAGAAGCAGGCTTCCCCCAGAGCAGGGAGCCCGATGCGGGGCTCGATCCCAGGACCCTGGGATCATGACGTGAGCCGAAGGCAGACGCTTAATGACTGAGCCACCCAGGCGCCCCAGTACTTTAATTTTCAAAATAAATCTGTGATATGGACAAATTCAGTGTCTAATAATATCAAAAGTTTGGCCCATAGCACTGGTCCTATAACCAGTTAATGTATATTTGCCTTGGTCAGACAGAAAATTTCTAACTCTGCACAAAAGTTTGTATAAAAATGTTTTTAATCCGGAAGATTTAAAAAAATGTTTTTAAGTTTATTAACTATATGTCATACGTGGTTTAATTGATTATCAAGTAAGTTAGGCAATGGATAAGAAATACCTGTTGCCCATAAGGAAATAAGACGTTTTAACGGAAATGATGAGTTTGGGAATTGCACCTGTGATGATCCAATGCTAAACTAACTTGTTTTCTCATGTTATTTTAGTGATACTGGATTTCTCATTTTTAAGCGATGGTCCCTGTCCCCCTTTAAAACAGGGAAAATGTAGTCATGGGAGGAGGGAAGGAGGTGAGAATGGCTCTAGGGTAATAATTGTCAGTATTGAGGCTTAGAATAACAAAGGGCCGGGAGGTAGGTGAGCAAAAAAACGCTCACTTCCAAGAAAAAAATGAGTACACACAAGGATAGAAACAGCCTGTTTTATAGAGGAAGGCAGAGATAAATCATGGTGTCTCTGTTCAGTGGATCAGGCAGCTGTTAAAATGATTAGAAATGAAGACCTGGTTGCAAAACAATATTTAATAAAAGGTAAGTGAAAAAACATTATATATTTTTGTCTGCCCTGTGTACATAATTACATAGAAGCATATATACATTTGGAGAGAAATATAGCAAAATGAGAATTGTGGGAAAGTGTATTTTTGCAATTTTATTATAGTTTTTGTTATAAATATCATTGTGCTATAAAAATAAGGAGAAATGCAAAGAATGTGTTCAACTCAAGAAAAAAAAACAAAATAAAACAAAAAAGGAGAAAAAAGAGCCAACCTGTCTTCCACATAGTTATTTACCGAGTCATGGAATTTTGAGCTGGGAATTTTATCTCAGCTATTCTCAAACTTTCTGGTCTCAGGACCTCTTTACAATAAAAATTATTGAGGACCCCAGAGAGCTTTTGTTTATGGGGGTTATACCTATTAGTATTTCTATACTAGAAATTAAATTTGAGAAATTAAAGATATTGATTGTCATTTAAAAATAGCAATGATAGGATGCTTGGGGGCTCGGTTGGTCATCCAACTCTTGATCTTAACTCAGGTCTTGATTTCAGGGTCATGAGTTGAAGCCCCGTGTTGGACTCCACGCTGTGTGTGGAGCCTACATGAAAAAAAAATAATGATATACCTGTTACATCTTAAATAATACACTTTTATGAAAAATAACTATATATTCCAAAACAAAAATATTTAACAAGTGTGCTGTGGTTTTACATTTTTGCAAATTGCTTTAATATTTGGCTCAATTGAAGACAGTTGGATTCTCCTATCTGCCTCTCCATTGATTCTGTTGTGATATTTTGTTTTGGTTAAAATATGGAAAGAAATCTGACCTCACACAGGGAGGCGTTGGAAAAGGGAGGAATGCTTTAGTAGTTTTTTCAGATGATTGTGGATATGCCACCTTGCTTCTCGCACACCCCACTGGACACCTATGAGAGACTGAAATTGAAAAGGGCAAATAATGTCTGAGAATTGTTATGAAAATAGTTCTCGCCTCATGGGCTCCTTGAAAATGTTTTAGGGACCTACAGGGCAGCTTCTGACCACACTTTGAGAATCACTGCTCTACCCTTTCAGAGGTGAGAAAACTGAAACCAGAATGTCAAATGATTTTCCCCAAATTACATGGTTTATGGAAGACAGGTTACTTGGACAGAGTTCTTCTGGTTTCATTCCTGATGCTTTTGGAGGACTTCAAAATTACAAAATGACCTTAGGACAACTTTTGTAAACTGACCCTGAGTGTTTTTTAATCAGGGTCTTCTGAGATGTCAAATATAATTGTTCCTTTTCATCTTGAAGATTAAAAAAGAAACCTCCATGATAGGTGAATCAAAAGTAGCATTAGGATTATAGGTAGACTTGTAGAAATGCAATTTTAATATAGAAATATTAATTTAAACATACATTTAGTTTTTGGTTACTACCTCTTACTAGCTTCCTAGCATCTTCTTTCTCAGTAATTTTATGTAGACACTTTGCATTTATTTGCTTTGTTGCAATTATCTGCATATCCATAATTAGAGGCATTTTCCATATCTGGACCTCCATTTAAATTCTTCGGTGACTTTCTGGTTTTATTTTTAATGTTGTCCACTCATTCCTCTGAGGTTCCACTGAGGTCTCAGAAACATCAGTGACTTGGATGCCCGAGATGGAAAACACTTTGGAAAACTTTATTTAGCCTGATTGAGTAGGTAGTTTTCAAACCTCACCACCAGAGCACAGCTTTCTTTAGAGGGCCTTTGTATGGTAACTTCCTCTTTATCACCCTCAGTCAGCCCTCTTGCTCGCCCCTTCCCTCACCCTATTCAGTGTTGGCCTCCGATCTCTGTCCTCGATCAGAGGCTTTCCTTCATATTTCTTCATCTTTTTCAAGTTTTTATTGCAAAAGCCTCTTTCTTGTTCTGCCATCTACTTTATCTTCCTTTTTCTGTTACCTATTTACCAGTTTCTTTTTAAAAAAGATTATTCTTTTTTTTTTAAAGATTTTATTTATTTATTTGAGTGAGAGAGAGTACACGAGAGGGGGTAGGGTCAGAGGGAGAAGCAGACTCCCCACTGAGCAGGGAGTCTGATGCGGGACTCCATCCCGGGACTCCAGGATCATGACTTGAGCCGAAGGCAGTCGCTTAACCAACTGAGCCACTCAGGCGCCCTTAAAAAGATTATTCTTAATAAGAATTATCTCCTTACATACAATGGAATCAAGATTCTCATAGTTGCCAAAAAGATACACAAAAGTGAGTCTGTAGTCTCCTGTTTGTATGATGGTAACCATCATTGGAAAAGTGTCGTGATGGACACTCAAATGCTGGAGGCCACCATCCTCCTGACTTATCACCACAGTGCCTTCACTCCTTGCTTCCAGTTTATGGTGAATAGATTAGTGGTAAAAATCACTTATTTTGTAATACACTGGCAAAATCTTTGGGTCAGCTCTAACTAATTTTATCATTTTTCCCCCACCAAAATAAAGCATTTTAAAGTTTTATGGGGAAACACCCCATTTTGTAGATCCTGTTATCACTTCAGGAAAAGTGGTGGGACTGAGAACACAGTTCTTGGGAGAGACTGAGATGAAATTCTGGGTGCCTTTTGGTGTCCGCTTGTCCCTAGTCCTCAGTCCCTCCCCGTGCCTTGGAATGGTGGGACCAGGACTTGGAAAAGTCCTACTTACTACTGGTCCTGCATCTCCTACCCTCCTGTGTCTGCCCTTTTGTTTCTACCCTTGTTTTGGAATCAAGTCTGAAGTGGGGGCCGAGGTGTCCAAGTTGCAATTACAGAACTCTCACATCTAGTTGTAAGGCACTCCCTTTTCCTCCTTTTTCCTTTCCTTTTGGAGCTGCAAAGGTGTTTTGTGGGTTAGAGGAAATAAAAAGACAATTCATTAATTTGAAAATTGTTGAGAATCTGTTCTATCTACATCACATGACTCTTTTTTCTAGACTGTTTTCTTATTTTCTTTGTCCAGTGGGATGTAATTATGTCAGTGTTCCACATGCAGTGGAAGCTTCATATGTATTTGTTTAAAAGAGAGAAATAAAGACAGAACACAAAAATGCAGTCTAGCTGGGGAGATGGTGTAATGGGGGAGTGATGGACACTGGATGTTCAGGCTCTATTTTCATCCCTATTGTAACTGTCTTTGTGATTGGGTCAAATTACTTCACTACTCTGTGCTTTAGTTTTCTTTCTGTAAATGAGAAAGTTGTTAAGTGATGTTTAACAATGTTTGCTCCTCACTTTAGTATTTATTCAGTGATTACTTATCAAGTGCCTGTTGTGTGCCTGGCACTGTTATGAAATGCTGGAAAGAGAGTAAACAACAAATGGAGTAGTTTCTGCTCTCGCTGATGTTCTGTAATAAGGTGTGGGATGTCTGTCTTCCCTGTGGGTAATAGAAATAGTAATTTGAAGGGCAGCTGAGTTCCAGTCCTCGCTCTGTGTCTGATTTGGGTAGGGCCTTTACAGGTTATTTATTTATTTATTTCCCCCCTAAAGATTTATTTATTTATTTGAGAGAGAGAGAAAGAGAGAGAACAAGTGGGAGAGGGACAGAAGCAGAGGGAGAGGGGGAGAGAGAATCCCAAGCAGACTCCCTGCTGAGTGTGGAGCCTGATGCGGGGCTGGATCCCACATCCTGGAGATCATGATCTGAGCTGAAATGAAGAGTCAGACGCTCAACCCACTGAGCCACCCAGGTGCCCCAGGACCTTTATAAGTCATTTAAATGCTTTGTTCCTTTATTTCTCATCTGTAAGATGAAGATAGTGATACCTCAACTATTTACCTTACACAATTGTTTTAAGACTCAGAATGATGTATGTGGAAATGCATTTGAATATAGCAGTAATGTATAGTGTGTTTCAGTGTCTATAGTAATGTAAAATATTATTGTATTTTGCTATAGAATTTCACATGGAATTCATTACAACTTGGTTGAGAGAATTCTAGATTAACTTAAATTTGGAATTCAGAGATACTTGAATAATATAAAGTATGTTTGTTTTTCTTCTCTTCACAGAAAAAGATAATGCTAAATATGTTTTTAGACACAATGATGGCCGATCCTCCTCCCCAGTGCCTTGTCTGGCTACCTCTCATGCATAGGCTCGCCCATGTTGAGAATGGTAAGCAGAACTTTGATCATTCAGTCCCTTGTGCTACAGGAAATACATGAACTGATGGTATTTGTAGTGTCCTTAGCTATTACCATTGAAAATTATAATTGACATTTGCTGTCACTGTGTCATTTGAATTTGTGATTTTTAGATTTCGGAAGAGGGATATTTATTTCTCAAAGAAAAGTAGGGGAAGGGGGCTTATTACTTAGGGTACCAAGAAACAGTAATATCAGGTCATAAAACTTTGTGGGTCAAACTCCAGGCTTTCCCCCACTGAGAATCACTTGAACCCACCTGATTTAGCCATGACTTCCTTTTTTCCCCCCCTTTAATTTATAAAAGTCACAGTTCTAAAAAATTGGATATATGCAGTATCAAGCACTAAAACTGTAATGATTTTGGAACAGTTTAAAGGAAAATAGCTACGATAGAATTTGGTACTTCACACATCTTCACTTTCTGCCTTTACTATTTTATCTTGACTTACTCTTGGTATCCTTTCCAGGAATTTGACTTAAATCTTTGTCTTGCTTGGAATTGAAATGGTAGTTATCTCCTGTAACTTCTTAATTCTTTCTTCTATCGCTATCGGTTTATCTCCTTGTTTAGGTTGTGTGAGTTTGTTAAAGGAAAGGCTATAGTTTCTTATGTAACCTCCTCTCAAGGCTCTTGCCTGTTTCTTATTCTGCCAAAGAGAACCAGTAACAGCTGAGAGGCCCGAAAAAGTAGAGCTCTCTTTTTCCCCTTTGTGAGAATGAAATGCACTTCCATACTCTGTCTTTTCCCTCTCTCATCTGTACCTTTTGTTTTTAAACCTCTCAGCTTTTTGCCCCACTGTGGCTTTAGTTCACAGGTACCTTAGATTCAGGATTATTTTCTTCAAGGTGTAGAATATCTTGACTAAACTAAAACGGCTAAATTTTTTAACAGGATTTTTGGATAGAGATTTATACTGTTAAATTATTATATTATTACTGAAGTATTATTGGCTCTTTTGGAGGCAATACTTTCAAAGCCTGAAGTGTTTTAGGACTTTCATATTCAGTTTGTTTTCATAAAGTCATTTCGTATCTGCCATACCATATAGAAAGAATCTCATTTGTCCTGATTTTTGTTATCTATATGAACATTTTACTGTGACTTTGTATATAGTGTATTATTTGTTGATTACATTCTTATGAGGTTAGTGATATTTTTCTTAGGGACAGAGAAATAGTATGAACTCATTAACATATCTTGAAAGTAAAACGTTATCTATCACAATAACATTTATCTACATATCTTAATTTTTATGGTGGGGAAATAAATTCTAAAATTATGGTATTTCTATATTTCTGTATGGTATTTTTATTGTTGTTTGGGCCCTTTCTATGAAATTCATCACTTGAATTATATTGAAGTTACTACTCATAAGGACAGATATCTATTTAGTTACACAAAAGTTGTACTTTTTATATTGTTTTACTAATCCAAGTGTATCGTGTATAAGATTACTAACATGCGTTCTTCCAAAAAGAATGCTTTTACCAAAACCTGATCTTATTTATAATTGACTGAGTACACTTGATGATCCTCTGCACATTCTGGTTCTTTCCATTTCCACCTGGTCAACCCATGATACTGTCTAATGTGTGGCTCTTGACTGGTGTAGAAGAGGAGAGAAATCACACAGATATACTATGTTCAACCAAGATAATCAATATACTTGATAATTTAATATTAATGTACATGTATTATTTAATACTAACCAAAAATAATTGTATAGAATTATAAATGCTGGTATGCTGATGTTGCCTATGTTGATGTGAGCTCCAGATTGATTTGCGAGTAGTGTTCTTTGGTGGAACTTTACTAGATTGTAGTTTTATTGTTTTTAATTAAAATTTTTTTTTTTAAGATTTTATTTATTAGAGAGAGAGAGAGAACGAGTGAGCACAAAGTGGGGAGGGTCAGAGGGAGAAGCAGACTCTCCAATGAACAGGGAGCCTGATGTGGGGCTCCATCCCAGGACTCCCGGATCATGACCTGAGCCGAAGACAAACACTTAACCAACTGAGCCACTCAGGCTCCCCTAGATTGTATAGTTTTAATTTGGAGCACAGATTCTTATTAGCACTTTCATTATTCCTTAGAAATATCTTGATGACAAAAGCTTGAATTTTTTAGAGGAAGTATGTCCTTTGGAATTCTCATTCCTGATTTTACTTTTCTTACAGTCTTTAATGATTCTGTTACATTGTTTTCCTCACCTAGTGTTCATTTTTGTTTTTTGAGCCTTGATGTCCTAGTTAATGTACATTTTTGGAAACAGGACCAAAAATCCTTATTATTGAGATAAGAACTCTTACCTATAACTAACATAGTAATATGTCTAGCCTTACTTTTTTTTTTTTTAAACCAGTTAACCACTTACGCCCAGGTGTGTGATAGCTTTTAATTCAGCCAACATTTGAAGGCTTTCAGTTGAAAGGTACTGTGTAAAATACCATTTTCAGGTAACAGAGACCCTTAGTACATCATCTGAGCTCTCACGGATCTCATGTTAGGGAACGAAACAAATGTCTCTGCAACTAACAATGATACATCTCTCTAAAAAGCAACAGGTTTGGGAAATAAATTTTAGACTGAGAAGGCTTCTCTCTCTTCTTTCCTTATATATTTATCTGAATTTTGAGAAACACGAGTTTCATTAAAAAAAAAAGAAATTGGTTATTTTCTCAGGTGGATTGGAATATAATGTAATAACTTGAGAAACTCTTCTCATCTTTAGTGTTAGGGTTAGGGTCATTGTCTTTCCCTTTTATTCTCGTAAATGGCAGGTTCCGTTAACTAGGAGACAATTTAGAATTTTCGCTTCTAATTGTTTTCATCTTTGCTTGTGTACGTGAGGTTTGGTTTTCCCCTGTGCTGACTTTATTTCTCCAAATGAAAATGCCTTCTTTCCCTCCCCCGCCCCCGCTGTCTGCTTCCGCAGTCTTCCACCCGGTGGAGTGCTCCTACTGCCGCTGCGAGAGCATGATGGGCTTCCGGTACCGGTGCCAGCAGTGCCACAACTACCAGCTCTGCCAAAACTGCTTTTGGCGCGGCCATGCCAGTGGCCCTCACAGCAACCAGCACCAGATGAAGGAGCACTCGTCCTGGGTAATTGCTTTATGTCCCAGCCCGGGTCCTCCGCTGTTACTCTGTCTCTGCGGCGGCCCCGGGCCGGCTTCCGGGTAGATGCCTTGCGAGCGAGGATGCCGGGTAATCTGGTGTTCGCGCTGATGGCCACGGCCATGACGGCCATGACGGCCATGACGGCCATGACGGCCATGACGGCCATGACGGCCATGACGGCCATGACGGCCATGACGGC